TGTTAACAGTTCTGCTGTTGTACACCATTGTCAGCTGCCCACGGTCCTTTCACTTACAAGATAGTGGGTCATCTCAAGAAGCTCAGGGTGTCGAAACTGGTTTGGCTCAATGGATAGAGCGTCGGCTGAGAGGGGACTGAGTGGGGACTGAGAGGTCCCGGGTTCAATTCCGGTCAAGGGCATGTACCTTGGTTGTGGGCATATCCCCAGTAGGGGGTGTGCAATAGGCAGCTGATTGATGACTCACTCTCATCGATGTTTCTAACTATCTCTCTCCCTTCCTCTCTGTACAAAATCAATAAAATATATAAATATATATATAAAAAGAAGCTCAGGGTGACTTATTCCTCCCCCTAGTCCTTTTCCCCCTGCGGGCCAGCAGCTCCTGGGAATGCAAATTATTTCTTTGTATCTTCTAGTGCACTCTTTTATGTAGGTGACATGATTTAAAAGAAGCATTATTTCTTTTTTCCTCTCTCCCATATAATATCCCTAAATCCTGAATTTCTATTAACTATAGACATTTGGGTCAAAAAACAATTGGCTCTTTTTGAAGGTTTATCAGGAAAAGACATTTAACTATTCACATCTAAATGTGTATTGATTACATGAGTTTTTTCTTTTCATTTACCTGGACCTCCCTAAAAATATTGAAATTAGAAAAGGGAAGTACCTTGTGTTAAATTTTGAGCATCGAACCTTTAGCTGTGTTTGGATTTTTGAATGTTCTGTGAAGCACATGAGCTCTTTGACTAAGATCATTAGGAGTTACAGGGGGAAAGTTAAGGACAATAACTTTGTCCTTTGTCATTTCTCTTGGTGTAGCTTTGTACTTTTCCCTTTTACTATAGCGTTGGTGAAATTAACTTTATTGTTTGAGAGCCTTGTTTCATTTCCTGTTCAATTTACTCTGTCCAGACACTGAGGTATGTGATATAAGCGTGGGTCATGCTATTTGTCTGTTTCTTCTGTTGGATTTTTTTCACTTAATATATCTCAGAGAACCTTTTTTTAGCACATATAGCAACCACCTTCCTTTTTTTTTTTTTTTTTTTTTAAATAATTCTTTATTGTTGAAAGTATTACATATGTCCCACTTTTCCCCCCATTGGCCCCTTCTGGCCTGTCCCCGTCCCTGCTGCAAGATTCCTTTTAATGGCTGTGTGCATGCCATTGTATGGTTGAATAATAATAAGTCTTGGCAGTGGATGCATAGGTTGCCTCCAATCTTTTCCTACTAAAGGGTTGTACATGCATATTTGGTTAATTTTCATGAATAAGCCCATAGGATTGTATATATTTCTAGCAGTGAGGTTGCTGGGTCAGGGGTACATGTAGTTTTCATTTTGATAGATCTTTCTAAGACTTAGTTTAAAACCTCATCGGAGCATTGTTCATTGATATTGAAATCTGTGTTATCTTAGTATTTGCTGGTATTCTAGGGAAATTATCTTAAAAATAGTTTACAGGATAAGCCAATATGGTCATAGGAATAAGAAACCATATATAAAAAAAGAAGAGAATTTTTTTTCTGTGTCTATGGCCTGTTTCCAAGGAAATTTTCACAGAAGTCAAGTTTGTCTTCCATTTATAGTATTTCTATTTCCCCTTCCATTTACTACTTCTGTTGAGGTTTGCTGTCTTCCTGTTCTAAGTCCCTTACTTTGGCACTTTATGCAAACCTGCCTTTTCCCTCAAAATATTCTCTGTCTTCAAAGTACTTTGACTTCCTCAATTCTAATTGTTTTGGTTTGATGTTAGGATAAGGTGAATAAAAAAATAAAAAAAGAAGGAAAAAAATATAGTATATATATATATGTATTATATATTTGTGTTTGTTGATGTGGACATTATATATTAACACAATGTTATAGGAGTATAGTTTAAAATAGTATGCATATGCAGTTGACCCTTGGACAACATGGGTTTGAACTGTGTGGGTCCACTTATATGCAAATTTCTCCCAAAAAATATACAGTGACTCTGTATTTCCAGGTTTCACACCTGTGGATTCAGCCAACTATAAATTGAAATAAGTTTTAACCCTCAAAAACTTAATTTTGATCCTCAGTTGGGAATTTGTGGATGCCAAGGGTCTACTGTATGCATTATTCTACACCATTTTATTATAAGGTCTTGAGCATCCTCAAATTTTGGTATTGAACAGGGGTCCTGGAACCAATCCCTTAAGGATACCAAGGGACTAGTTAAGTTTTTGGGGAATTAAAAGTTATATGGAGGGAGTTAGTACTCCTACCCCTGTGTTGCACACAGGTCAGATGTATTAGGATATGCTAAATTTAAAAAAAATTGATGAGGTATGTGACCAGGAACATTGGAGTTGGGTACTACTGTTTTAGGGAAGTGTGGACCTTGTGTTGGCTTAACAAGTCAGCTTCAACTTCGGCCGCTTTTGTTTAAAAACTAAGTTCTGTCCTAAGTCAGTTTCTCTAAATTGATAATCTAATCATCTTTTCTTCTACAGCTTCTATATTTTAAAAAGCTCCCTTTTAATTTTAATTAATTTATTTAAAAATATTTTTGTTGATTTCAGAGAGGAAGGGTGAGGGAGAGAGAGATAAAAACATCAACAATGAGAACGAATTGCTTGGCTGCCTCCTGCACACCCCCTACTGGGGATTGAGTAAGCAATCTGAGCATGTGCCCTGACTGGCAATCTAACCATGTCCTCCTGGTTCATAGGTTGAGCCAAAAATCTCCTTAAAAAAAACAATAACTGTGTAGCACTAACAACTGTAGCAGCAACTGTATATATGTCCTTTTAGTTAGGGGCTTCCCTAATTCTTTAAGAAAACAGTAAATAGATTAGAAGAATATAATTTATTTGGTAAGGATTTCCAAAGAAATGTCCAAAACAAGCAAATTCTAGCCCTAAAGAACTTAAGTTTCACATAGTCATAGGATAATTTATCTTGTAAGAAATGTGATAATAGAATATTTGAAGAGAACAGTTATTTGGTAGTATATTTAAAATATATTTTCTTTAGATTTTGTTTGCTACTTAGAGATTTTTAAAAAGTGAAATGAGATTCTTGGTCCTTTGTTCTATGTAATCTAGACTGATAGTACCTGGTACCAGGGAAAACAAGATTGGCAAATATAAATTATATTTCTAATTTGTTTACTTTGCTATTATATATTTTTAGCTGTTTATTAAGTAAAGTTTTCTCCCTAGATAAAAACATTAGTAAAAGAAATAGTATTTAAATTTCAGTAGTGTATTTGAACTTAACTGATTATTTATTTTACCTCTGAAAGCTATGATCCAAGGCAGTCACCATTATTGATTTGGGAAAGAGATGACTAAACTGAAACACAGTTAATGTGTTTACTAATATTTCACACAGTCTGCTGATAGAAGTCACTTTAAAGAAAACAAGCTTTGTACCAAAGCTTTGACCTCCTTTGAATTTCATGATTATTATTGTTAGTTCCTAGAATAACACAATAGAATATGAATTTATAGCAACCAGAGTTAGAAGGTTGGACTTAATATTGCTTGACTTTTCTATAATAATAGAGAAAACAAGATAATATAATAATGTCTAGTTTTTATCATGACCTACTTATTTAATCATGTACAACTACTTGACTATATAGTAATGAAAGTACTTTTATTACACTTTAAGAAATTTAAAAACATTTATAAAATTTTTTATTATAGAAAGTTTTCAAATTAGAGATAAATATAATTGAGAAAAAAAACCTGGTAATTTCACCACCCTTTGGTAATGTTAATATTAATATTTTAGATAAACCTGTGCACATTCACACACGCACACACACAATTCCCTTTATATTGGGATATTTCTCCACATTTAAAAATATTTTTGCAGAATATTTTTATGACTATATGGATTTTTTGTTTCAACAGACTTTTTATTGAAGTACTGTAACAACTGACAGAATGTGCACATATCACAGATGTACATCTTGCAATTTTACAAAGTGAGCACACCTGTGCAGCCATCATTCAACTCAAGAAAAAACATTGCCAGCTCTCAGACATCCTTCTCTTCCTGTCTCCTATCAGCAGCCCCTCCAAGGGTAGCCGTTCTGACTTTATTTATAAGAAAATCCTATTGAGAGATAATTTACATGCAATAAAATTAAAATTCACCTGTTTTAAATGTACAATTCAGTGGTTTTTAGTAAACTTATTGAGTTGTGCAGACATCACTATAGTTAGGTTTTAAAGCATATGTATGAATATATTTAATTTGTTTTCTTTTGTTGAATATGTAGTACATTTGCAGTTTTTCACTGTTATATACATTGCAGTGATTTTTCGTGTATATCTTTGTATGCATTACTGATTTCATCAGAATAGGTTCCTAAGAGTATAATCACTGGTTCAAAGAGCATGTGCAGTTTTATGACTTTTGATACATAGACCAAATTGCCTTTGAAAATTGTTTATATTTTATATTCCCACTGTCAGTAGATGTGTCTTTTTTGTCATCCACCTCAACATTGGACTTAATTTTTTTAAAAGTTATTATCAGTTTGGAAAATGAAATATGGTACTTCTGTTTTAATGTTTGTCTCTTTGATTATTGTAATCTACTATTATCTTATATATTTAGTGACTGTTTCTAAGTTTATTTTATGACTTGCCTGATAATTTTTGTCAGTTTATTTCTTAATGAATGTATTTCTTCTTATAAAACATTTTAATATCCTAAAGGATATGAATCTTTTGATTATTACAAATACATCGTTCCTTATTTGCTTAATGTCAGGCTCATAAAAATAAATTAGAGTATGCCTTTAAGACAAAAATGAAAATTTGTATTTTGCTCTACTAGCCTTATCTAGGTAATTTAAAAATTTGAGGCAATACTGAAATATATGAGTGAAGTTTTTCTATTAAGTGTATACCTTTCATAATTTGAATTAAAATTATCAAGTAGATATGTAAAACTAATTTGTTATGCTTTGTTACCATACTTGGTCTTTCTAGGCAGTTATACTTAAGCATGAACATTGACGACAAACTGGAAGGATTATTTCTTAAATGTGGCGGCATAGACGAAATGCAGTCTTCCAGGGCGATGGTGGTAATGGGTGGAGTGTCTGGCCAGTCCACCGTGTCTGGGGACCTGCAGGATTCGGTACTTCAAGATCGGAGCCTGCCCCACCAGGAGATCCTTGCTTCAGATGAAGTGTTACAAGAAAGTGAAATGAGACAACAGGATATGATATCACATGATGAACTCATGGTCCATGAGGAAACAGTGAAAAATGATGAAGAGCAGATGGAAACACATGAAAGACTTCCTCAAGGACTACAGTATGCACTTAATGTCCCTGTAAGTAACTCCTTTATAAAATATTAAGCATATAATTAGAAACATAGTTTAGTATTAAGTAATACTACCAGTCATTGAAGAACTTGCAGAAAATGTTTAATGGCTAAATAGTTCACACTGGTGTTCTTAAATAGATACACTAAATATTAACGTAAATTATATTGGAAAATGCAAAATTAACTTTTTGTATTACATATATTTTAGAAACTTATCTTTTCCAGGATAACATTTATTTCTTCATCAGGATTACTGTGGGTTAAATTTTAAGTGCTTAATTTTTAAGGTATTTTGTTTTAACTTCTGAGTTTTTCCTGAATGGGTGGAAAGATTGAAACTTGAGCATAATTAGAAAAACAGCATGCACTCCTTCTAATTCTTTAACTTAGCAATTCCTGCCTTCTTTATTTTTTAATCTTTGGAAAATATATTAAGATCTTTAGTTTCCTATATTTACTGTAGATATCATGGCTTATCACTGAAGGTATTCCTTTGTAGGCACCCTTGTAAGAAGAACCCATAAAGTTTTTTCCTTCTTGTATTTTTAATTTTACCTGACAACCAGCAAAACCATAACCATATGCAATCCCTTTCTATTCTTTCTGTGATATTAAACCCGGATTCCTTTCAGCACATTTAATTGTACTCTTTCTTTTGATTCATGACATTCATATATCCTGCTTATAATATTCTCCTCAGCCATACCGCTCCCTGTTTTTTAACGTATTCAGTGCTTCATCACCATCATCCTGCCAGTCTAGGTTGAGTCCCTGATTTAGTGTCTTGTGACTGCTTCTTCATTGTTCTCTCTAATAGACTGTAAATTCTACAAGAGCATGAAGTTTGTCTTATTTTCCCTTATATCCCAGTTGTTGGCACATAGTGTGAATAAATGGATAACTGCTTATAGTTGAGTTCTAGTATGTATGCTTACCAATTTTTACATAGCCCATTGCAATAGCCCTTTCTTTTTGCAATAGGTTGATGATTTGAATGTTGAACTGGCCTTGCATAGCTGGAATAAATTCCACTTGGTTGTGGTATATAATTCTTTTTATACATTATGGATTTAATTTGCTAATATTTTTTGAGGGTTTTTGCATCTGTGTTCATGAGCTATATTGGTCTAGTTTTTTTTTTTTTTTTGTAATACCTTTGTTTGATTTTGATATTAGAGTAATCCTGAATTCTTAGAACGAATTAGGAGTATTCCCTCTGTTGCCGTCTTCTGGAAGAGATTGTAGAGAATTGGTATAATGTCTTTCTTAAATGTTTGGTAGAATTGACCACTGAGTCCATATGGTCTGATATTTCCTTTTTTGGAAGGTTTTAATTACTGATTCAATTTCTTTTACAGATACAGGCCTACACAATTATCTTTTTTTTCTTGTGTGAGTTTTGGCTAATTGTATCTTCCAAGGAATTGATCAGGTTTTATCTAGGTTATCAAATTTGTGAGTATAGAATTCTTCATTGTAGTCCCTTATTATTCTTTCAATCTCCATGGAGTCTGTTGTGGTGTCCCCACTTTCATTTTTATTTATTTATTGTCTAGAATTTTACATGTCCCGTTCCCCCCCCCCCCACTTGACATCCCCCCCACTCAGCCATTCCCATCCTGGGCAAACCCCCACCACTGTCTGTGTCCATTGGTTATGCTAATATACATGCATACAGGTCCTTTGGTTGTTAACACCCCACCCCCCTTCCATTTGTCTCTGGATCTATTCTTGTACATCTAATTATGTTGATGATTATATCCCACATATGAATGAGATCATGTGATATTTATCTTTCTCCAACTGCTTATTTTGCTTAGCATAATGCTCTCCAGGTCTATCCATGCTGTTGCAAATGGTAAAAGTTATTTCTTTTTTTGTAACGGCGTAGTATAATATTCCATTGTGTAGATGTACCACCGTTTTTTAATCCACTAATCTGCCTATGGGCACTTAGGCTGTTTCTAAATCATAGCTATTGTAAATTGTGCTGCTATGAAAATAGGGATGCATATATTCTTTCTGATTGGTATTTCTGGTTTTTTGGATATATTCCTAGAAGTGAGATTACTGAGTCAAATGGAAGTTCCAATTTTAACTTTTCAAGAAAACTCCGTACTGTTCTCCACAGTGGCTGCACCAGTCTGCATTCCCACCAGCAGTGCACAAGGGTTCCTTTTTCTCCACATCCTCGCCAATACTTGTTGTTTGCTAATTTGTTGATTATAGCCATTCTGACAGGTGTGAGATGGTATCTCATTGTTGTTTTGATTTGCATCTCTCGGATGATTAGTGACTTTGAGTATGTTTACATATGTCCCTCGGCCTTCTGTATGTCCTCTTTAGAAAAGTGTCTATTTAGGTTTTTTGCCCATTTTTTGATTGGATTGTTTATCTGCCTTTGGTTAAGTTGTATGAGTTCCCTGTAGATTTTGGAGATTAAACCCTTATCTGAAATAGTATTGGCAAATATGTTGACCCATTCAGTGGGCTTTCTTGTTTTGTTGATGGCTGCCTTTGCTGTGCAGAAGTTTTTTATTTTGATGTAGTCCCTTTTGTTTATTTTCTCTTTAGTCTCTATTGCCCTACGACAGTGGTCAGCAAACTCATTAGTCAACAGAGCGGCAAACTGCGGCACGCAAGCCGCATGTGGCTTACGAGCTGCAGTTTGCCGACCACTGCCCTAGGAGCTGTGTCTGTAAAGATATTGCTATGACATATGTCTTCTATTTTGCTGCCTATGGAGTCTTGTAGGATTTTTTTGGTTTCCCGTCTTACATTTAAGTCCTTTAGCCATTAAGTTGGTGATCTAGTTTCATTTTTCCACTTTCATTTTTTATATTAATAGCTTATATGTCCTCTTTTTTTTTCTTAGCCTGAGTAGAGATTTGCTGCCTTTTTTTTTTTTTTTAAAGCCTGGCTAGTTAGTGTCTTGTTGCCCTTTTTTAAAAGGGCATCTAGACCATTTCATCTTGCAAAACTGAATTCTATACCCACTGAACAACAGTTTCCCATTTCCTCTCTTCCCAGAAGAGCTTAGTCATTTCATATATATTTAGAAAGAACCAGCTTTTGTTTTTCAGTCTTGATTTCCAGTTTTCAATTTCATTGATTTCTGCTCTAATTTTTATTATTTCTTTTGCATTTTTTCAATTCAATTTGCTCTTTTCCCCCTGATTTCTAAGGTGGAAGTTTAGATGATTGATTTTAGATCTTATTTCAGATCTTTCTTCTTATTATTAATCTTTATTTTTTATTTTTTCAATTATAATTTACATAAAATATTATATTATTTCAGGTGTATACCCCAGTGATTAGACATTATAAAATTTATTAAGTGATCATTTGATAAATCTCATCCATCTGACATCATACATAGTTATTAGAATATTATTAACTGTGTTACCTATATTATACTTATACACCCATGACTATATTATAACTACTAATTTGTATTTCTAAATCCCTTCACCCTTTTTACCCATTACCCTCCCACCCATTTGGCAACTGTTAAGATGTTCTCTGTATCTGTGAATCTGTTTCTGTTCTGCTTGTTTATTTATTTTATATTCAATTATTGGTAGATGTGTATTTATTGCCATTTTATTGTTCACTAGAGACCTGGTGCAGGAGTAGAGGGGTGTCTCTTAGCCTGGCCTGCACCCTCTCCAATCTGGGACCCCTCGGACATCTCTCTCACAATCCGAGACTGCTGCCTTTTAACCGCTTGCCTGCCTGCCAGCTTGATCGTCCCCTATCTGCTCCCCTGCCGGCCTGATTGACCCCTTACCTGCCCTTCCCTTCCCGACAGATCGCCCACAACTTCCCAACACTGTTGGCCCGATTGCCTACAACTGCCCTACCCTGCCAGCCTGATTGCCTACAACTTCCCTCTCCTGCCGGCTTGATGGCCCCCAACTGCCTTCCCCTCCTGAGGTCTGATTGCCCCCAACTGCCTTCCCTAGCTGGCCTGATCACCCGCAACTGCCTTCCCCTGCCGCAACCACCTCCTCCACTGGGACCTGCCTACTCTGCGAAAGCTGGCAGAGTGCCAGGATCAGCCTCCTCTGTGCTGCACAGAGCCATGGGACCTCGAAGCCTCACTGTGCGGAGCAGCCACTGGGCCCCACCTTCACTGTATGCGTGGCCATCTTGTGATGTCATGGGGGTGTGATACTACCTAAGCTATTATTAGAGTATATATTTTTGTTCTTAAAAAATTTTTTTCTTCTTCTTAAAGAAGACCATTTAACAGTTAATATAATATTGGTCTGGTGACGACGAACTCCTTTAACTTATTCTTGACTGTGAAGCTCTTTATCTGATCTTCAATTCTAAATGATAGCTTTGATGGGTAGAGTAATCTTGGTAGTAAGTCTTTGTTATTCATCACTTTGAATATTTTTTGCCAGTCCCTCTGGCCTGTGAAGTTTGTGTTGAGAAATCAGCCAAAAGTCATATGGGTGCTCCCTTGTAGGTAACTAACTACTTTTCTCTTGCTGCTTTAAGATTCTCTCTTTGTCTTTAACCTTTGGCATTTTAATTATGATGTGTCTTGGTGTGGGCTTCTTTGGATTCATCTTGTTTGGGACTCTCTATGCTTCCTGGACTTATCTATTTTTTTAACCAGGGAGGGGAAGTTTTCTTCATCAATTTTTTTTTTCAAATAGATTTTCAATTTCTTTGTCCCTGTCTTCTTCTGTCACTGCTATGATGCAAATGTTGGTACCCTTGAAGTTGTCCTAGAGGCCCCTTACACTATCTTCATGATTTTGGATTCTTTTTGCTGTTCTGATTGGCTGTTTTTTGTTCCTTATATTCAAATTCTCAATTTAATTCTCAATGCCCTCTACTCTATTGTTGATCTCCTGTAAATTATTCTTTATTAAGCTAGTGTATGCTTCATTTCTGATTGCTCCTTTTTATGCTGTTGATGTTCTCACTAAGTTTCTTGAAGTTCTTAATAAGTTCCTTGAGCAACCTTATAACCATTATTTACACTCC